TATAAGCCCAGTCCCCTCCTTTGTTTAGTGGCTCATTTTCCATAGGGAAAGTGGGTCCAACAGCATCACACCATTCATTCCCACCCCATTGCTGCAAGAAACTTCATTCCTGAATAAAAGGTTGAGATGATCCGTGAAGTTTACATCCTGTCTGGTTCTTTTTTGCTAACACTAGTCTTCTCTGGCTGATATGGGGATTCTTCTAATAATCAATTTTGACTCAGGACTTCTGATTAGTCTGACTAACACTTTCCTAGAACTCACAGTGATCTAACAATCTTCCCAGCCAATCCTTCTCTCTTTATTTTTTTCACAGGTATCAGAATGACATTGTAGTCTGAATGTTTCTCCTGCCTGCTCCTGCTCCTTTATCCCAGGTTCTTCACAGGTCTTTTCCCCAGTAAATCCCTTGTATGTCAATCCCATTAGAGATGGAAGACTAGTAGTATTTTGGCTGTGTGATGCTTGAGCTTCCTATTAGGTATTGAAGAGCTGTCCATCATGGAGTTGAATATATTTGTTGGTAATTCCCAGAAGGGTCCAAATTGGAATGACAGGATATTGAAAGTTTTTAATGTCAGGATTAGGTTACTTGGAAGAATGTGTTGATATAAAGAAGAACAGAAGATCTGGGGCAAGACAAAGTCTGTAAGTCAATTAGGAGAGGACCAGCCGAGAAGTTTGAGAAGTGAGGAAGAAGTAAAACAAGCTGCCCATAGCATTTCAAGGAGTGTGTGGGTCAGTGAAATACTGATGGGAGGCAACTAGATAAATACAGAGAAGAAACTGTAAGGGGACAAATAGGTGAGGGTGGTGGGAACATGAGGTTGAGAGAATAATTCTATAAAATGAGCCCACTAAAATGACTCCCCATGTTTTCTTTGCCAAAAGGCAATCTCCCCCTCCCCCCACCAATTAGTTGCTAAAACCTCTGAATCTCCAGACCCCAAATTCCTGGGGATCTACACTTTCCAACCTGAGCAATAAACCCCTGTGCTGCTCCTTCCTGCCTTCAGGCACATATATGAAGAAGAAAGAAAAGGTGGGGATTCTGGAGGCCTATAAAAGAGCAAGACACACCCCTCTCTCAGACACCCAGCTCTGGGCCCCACTTCTCTCCAGAGAAGTCTATCTCTGTCTCTCTCTTAAATAAAACTTGCTTTCATACGAGAAATAAGATCAAGAATCAATAAATGGGACACTATCAAACTAAAAAGCTTCTTCCCAGCAAAGAAAACAATCAAGAATATGAAGACAGAGCCTATAGAATGGGAGAATATCTTTGCCACCTGTACTTCACATAGAGCATTAATGTACTGGATATATAAAGAACTGAAAAAACTTAACACCAAAAGAAAAAAAAAAAACCAACCAACAAACAAATGACCCACTCAGTGCCCAAAGGAACTGAACAGACACTTCACTGAAGAAGTATGATTGGTCAACAAATATATGAAAAAATGTTCAACATTTCTATCAACCAGATAAATGCAATTAAAACCACTCTGAGATTTTATCTTACTCCAGTCAGAATAGCAATTATCAAGAATACAACTAACCATAAATGTTGGTGAGGATGTTAGGAAAAAGGTACACTCATACATTGCTGGTAGGATTGCAAATTGGTACAACCACTCTGTAAAGCAGTATGGAGATTTCTTAGAAGACTTGGAATGGAACCACTATTTGATCTAGTTATCCCACTCTTCAGCATATACCTGAAAATTAGAATACTATAATGTTATGGCTACATTGATGTTTATAGCTGCTCAATTCACAAAGGCTAAGCTATGAAACCAACCTAGGTGACCTTCAACAGATGAATGGATAAAGAAAATGTGGTACATATACACAATGGAATATAACTCAACCATAAAGAAGAAATTATGAAATTATGGCATTTTTTGTTCAATGGATGGAACTGGAGACTACCATGCTAAGTGAAATAAGCCAATCCCATAAAACCAAAGACCAAATGTCCTCTCTTTGACATGCAGATGCTGACTCACAATGGTGGGAAGGGGAGAGAAGTGGAGGTTCACTGTATTGGACAGAGTGGAGTTGGAGGAAGGGAAGGGGTATGGGAATGGGAAAGACAGTAGAATGATTTGGGCATAGCTTTCTATGTTCATATGTGAATACACAACGAGTGTAACTTCACATCATGTACAACCATAAAAATGGGAAGTTGTACTTTATAAACATATGATGTCAAAATACTTTTTACTGTCATGTATAACTAAAAAAAATAAACAAAAATATTTAAAAAAACTTGCTATCTTCACTTGCCTCAGCATTTCTCAGTTATTTTATTTTCAACACTGGGGGAAGGAGGGCCCATTCCTGATATCCAAGACCATTATCAAAACCATTGGCTTTGTCCATCCAAGGGAGATGTAGAAGAGGTGTAGCCAGCCAAGGCAAGATGCTGAGTGAGAAGTCATGGATGGGTCCAGATCAAAGGAGCATGGAGAAGTCCTTCAATGAGGTCAAGTTCCCAGTTGATGAAAGTGCTCATTGTAAGATATGGAAAATGACAAATCCCCAAATAATGTGGTGGGGGGAAGAGGGAGTGAAGAAGGCAACACATTGATAACATTGATTCTTTTCCAATACATCCTTTTCCAATGACAGGACAATCCCGGGGAAGAAAGCAAACTTCACCAGATGGCAAGATAATCCCTGGGAAGGAGATATGCATCAAGCCTAAAACAGCAATCTCTGGGAGGAAACCAAAGCAGTAATCTTTCCCCAAATAAATCCTTTCCCAGTGACAGTACAATGGAACCCTGAAGCGAAAGAGATAAGCACTGAATGATGACCCCAGACCCTCTATTATTCCCCAAAGAAAACCATTGCCCAGTAAAAACAGATTTCAAATTCTTACAAACCTGTTTCCTGAATGCCCAAACTGACACACTCTATCATGAATTAAGTCACCTTTCAGTGCAACCTATATAAGCACAGATTCCTGCTTTGGCCAGTAGCTTATTTCATCAGGAAAGTGGGTCCACCAGATGCAAAACTCCACTGCTGAAAAAAAGGCTTTGCTGATCCATAACATTCTGTGCTAACACTCACTAACCCAAGCAGAGGACCCAATCAGATAGTCACTTCTGTACTCATGCATCTAAGTGGGGGATCCAATAAAACAACTAAAATGGATTCATGGTGATGCACCAGTGAACAACAGAAGAGCATGGACAATACAGAAGATAAGAAAAGGAAGAGGGCTGGGGATGTGGCTCAAGTGGTAGCAAGCTGGCCTGGCATGCATATGGCCCAGGTTTGGTCCTCAGCACCACATTCAAAGATGTTGTGTCCGCCGAAAACTAAAAAAAATAAATATTAAAAAATTCTCTCTCTCTCTTAAAAAAAAAAAAAAAGGAGGAAATCCAGAGACTATCAAAAACAATCCAAACCTTGTGGCTCTGGAACCCCCTCTCTTCAGAGAAGTCTATTTCTACAGTTTGCAATAATCCTCTGTGTCCTGTTCTTCAATTCTTTGCTGAACAGCAATGAGTCCGAGACCCCTAAACAGTAACACATACAGATCACTAGTGTTCTCTGGAAGGGCCATAACTGGAGTGGAGTGAGGTTAGGAGAGATGTTGAGATGAAAAGTGTAATGGAAACTATTTTCATTTGATCCATGGGGGCAGTGCACACTTTGGTTTGCATTTGTATTCATAAATGTTTGGTGAAAAAAAGTCTCATTTATTATGGTCCTACCTCTCTCCTACCATTTTGAAATTCTAATCAAGGATCATCATTCATCACACAATGTACTGATCTATGTTGCCTAGTTAATCACCGACCATACCAAGATACAAGGAAATGTAACCAAGATCACTTTATGTTTTGAGTATAAACCTTGTTGCCAGACCTTAGGTGGCTTGATTTTTATTTATATATTTATTTTTAGTACTAGCCATGAAATCCAAGGGTGCTTAACCACTGAGCCACAACCCTGGCCCCTTTTACGTTGAGACAAGTTCTCCTTAAATTGCTTATGGCCTTGCAAAGTTGCTGAGGCTGGCTTTGAACTTTTGATTCTCCTGCCTCAACCTCCCCAGTCACTGGGATTACAGGCATGCGCTATCACGCTGGGCTCAGGTGGTTTATTTTTTAAAACTGACATGTTTTTTTTCTTCTTTCCTTTCTCTTTTTAACATAAGGGAAACAAGACTAACATTTTCCAGTCCCAGGCTAAGCTATTATACCCTTCACTGGAAAAGTGTCATTGCCCCCAAGAACAAAGAAAACTCCAAACCTAAGAACTCAAGCTCAAGGACACCCAGTGGCTGTTCACTAATTATATCTACTGATAATATTTGGATCCCAGCCCTTAAATGTTGCTCTTCAAAGCCCTGTGCTCCCGCAGGCAGAGGGGATCACAGCCTCTGGCACAGGAGTTCGCTGTGTTTCGCCAGCAAAACAGAAAACATTTTTTTTCGCCTCAAACCTTGTCCTCCTTTTTGGACTGGCAATGGGGACAAGGATCACGCTTTAGGTAACAGAAAGAGTATTCCATAATATTCCTTCTGCACCTTCTCATTGTATTATCCCTTAGAAAGGTAAATCAATATTTTGACTGCTATCAACATCTGTAACTTTATTACAAAAATTTTCAAAGAAACAAATAAAAACTATGAGGAACATTTAATTGGGAACTGCCTTAGTACAAACTTAACAGTCACACTGACAACCATCTGGCGCGAGTTTTGGCGCCAGCGTTGTTCCGTAAAGCCCTGCCCCACAACGCCTCTAGCCCCATTTCGGGATTTTCCGGAGCCTGGTCGCGCCACACGGCGGGAGACAGGGGCGGGACGGTGGTGGGGAAGCACCGCCTTTCTGTCATGCGCACTACGGCCGGCGCGCTTCCCTCTCTCCCTCCTCCACCACCCACCAGGAGAACTGGTCATGCGCAGTGAGTATGCCCTGGGCTCGCGCGCTTCGCCGCGCCGCCGTGCGCAGGAGCGGAGCTGCCGGCCAGAGCGGAAGTGGGAACTGCTGCGGGGAGGCGGGGCTGCGGAGCTGTCCGAGGGGTGGGCGAGAGGCGGTCATGGCGCCCTCCGGGCGTCTCGTGGTTCCTCTGACAGTGTTGGTGTTGTTGCTTTGGGGGTTTCCGTGGATCCACGGGCGGCGGAGTGACGTGCGTGTCATCACCGACGAGAACTGGAGGGAGTTGCTGGAAGGAGAGTGGATGATAGAATTGTGAGTGTAGAGCGTTTGTCCCGCGACGCCGGCCGGGGTCCCTCCGATCCCGCACACCCGACCTCATTCCTTCTTCCTCAGGCAGGCCGCAGCTTTCCCCGGACTTCGCCTTCTAGTCGCCGAGTGGGCGCCCCAACTCCTCAGGATCCCCAGCTCCTCCCGGGAGCTGCCGCCGACTTGGTCGCACTCCTCCTGGTTTCCTACCTGGGAATATTAAGTTTCTTCTGCGCTCTTCTCCCGTGTTTCTTTTCTAGTGCTATGGTGCGCCGAAGGACTTGTGCTGTATCGAGTTGTCTCTCAACTTTTCTTCCTGGCTTTGAGATTGGAATTCGGATGGGATGGGGTGGAGGTGGCCTCAGACTTGTTCCCGTATAATATTGTTTTAGAATGATCCTTTACAGATGGGCGTTCAGACTTATTTTCGCTAAGCTTCGCAGAAGAGGATATTGAGCACAATCTCTGGCTTTTTGTTTATCCTCAAGAATTATCCATTTGTGTGTTGGAATTTGGGACTTTTGTTTCATATGCTAAGTTGAAATAAGGTTATTTTAAAATATTTGTGCCCTCCTTCACACATTCTCTTTCTGCAAGTCATTTTTTTCATTGTGCATTCGAAATGTAGAGAATCCTTGAGTTGTGACTCCTAGACCTTTGTAAGTGATATTGCATTAAAAGATAAAATTACTACTGGGATTATTATAAACTCTTTTAAGAGCGCTAGCTTGTGGTAGTTTGAACGAATTCATGTGTCTTGTGTGGTGGTTCTACTTTCAAGTCCTTTCTGCTGCTGTAGGAAATAACTGTCTTTGTTTTAGATGCTAAATTTTTTGATGATGGTAATATGGTTTCAGTGGCCCAAAGCATCATTATTGTTTGAATATTGACTGTATACTGGACACTACTAAGCACTTTTAAATGCATTATCATATTTAATTTCCTAATGATAGTTATTATTATTATTATTATACAGATGAGAAACAGATGCCTAAGTACCTTAATTATACAGATGAGAAACAGATGCCTAAGAACCTTAATTGGCCTGTCCAGATATTGCTATACTGGCTTTCTTTGGGCCTCCAAAAACATGCAGTAATTGTTAGAACACCTGCTTCTTTAACAAGGCTCAGATATTTTCCTGGATCATGGATGAAGCGTTAAGGAGACAAGTGGGGGTGGACATCTGGAAAGGACATTGGAGAAGACAGAGTCAGTAACTTTTGAATTGTAAAAAATAAGAACAAAAATAAGATAGGGAAAGTATTTAGTATGCATATAATCTGCAACATGGTTGAAGGAGTTATCAGGCACTGTTGAAGCTGTGGAGGAGAGGAAGTATAACCAATGGCAGCATTTGTTTTTTCCATCAGTAGCTTGTTTTAGATTTGGGCCTGTAAAATATTTAATGTTAAACAATATGTTAAGCAGTAGTGATTATGAGTTTATATGCAAAATATAGTCAAATATTACTTCAGGACATTTTTAATTCATTTGGTCTAACTAAATATAACATCAGAAGAGGTATTAAGGAGAAAATAATGAACAAATTCATTGATGATGAGCTAAATTCAAATTAGAGCATCTATTAGAAATTATAGGATAGTGTTTTCCTTCTTTATCCTTAGCTAAAGATCCTAAGGTTCAAGAAGTCTGTAAAAAAACACAGGATGCAACACATTGGAAAAAAGAAAGGATTGCTGGACAAGGTGGCACGCACCTGTCATCCTAGCCCCTCAAGAGACTGAAGCAAGAAGATCACAAGTTAGCCTCAGCAACCTAGTGAGACATTGTCTCAAAATAAGGAAAGGCTGGGGATGTGGCCCAGTGGTTGAGTGCCCCTAGGTTCAGTCCTTGGTACCAAAATAAATAAATAAATAAATAGGATTCAATAGTCTGCTTTTCATTACAAGTAAATTATTTTCATTTACTCTATTTCTGATCAGAAGTTGTTATGGAGACGTTTTCATTATAACTTACTGTTAAGGAGTTTGATATATATATATATATATATATATATATATATATATATATATATATATATATATAAAATACTAGTTTGTTTTATTCTACAGTGCCTATTTTGGGAATTTTTCCTAAAACAATCAAGAAAACATGAATACAGAAACTGTATTTTTGTTTTTAAACATGTATAGGCTTCATTTGTTCTGGTTCCATAAGCTGAGGCAAATTGCAATCTACAATAAAGTAGAAAAGAAAAATTCTAGGAAGAAATTAGGATCTGGGAAGATTATGAATGCCATTAAAATGCTATTATGGTTGGCCATAGAATTTGTAAAACCAGGGTCTTGGAAAACTGGTGGCCAAAAAATATTTGCTTAGTCTGCTTAGTATTTGGGGATAAGGTTTTGAAATAATATTTTTTACATAAAAACACAGGTTGTCTAGCTCCTTTTAATATGAATAGCCTTTCTTCCTGGAATAGCTATCTCTCTGGCAATCCTGCTGCATAGTAGTAGTAGTTGCCTTAAGTTGGAACTTGTGTTTCCTCATTCACCAAAGTACTTTCTATTTTTCCAACACTTTGCATTTGACTCTGCACTATAAAATTGTTAAAATGGTAAACTTAAAAAAAAAAAGTCTCTAGCTTTCTGGTGGCTATATTGTAGTAGAAAAATCCAAGGGTTTTTAAAGAGTTGTTATTCATGTGAAAAAGCCCTTGTGTCTTTAAAAATTTATTCTCAGGGTTGCTTTATTATGGATGGTTATGATCCTTAATTCATATTTTTTAGTATCCAGATTGTTAGGCCCACAGAGCTGTTTTCATATGCATAAAATTAACTACTTTGTTATTTTCAGTTTTTAGTATAAAATATTCTTCATGAATTTTATGTTTAAAGTATTTTTCATAATTTTTTTCAATCCAAAGATGAGTGATCATGAGAGCTCTTAAGTTTTTGTTTTTACACTATATTTTAGTTATGCACCGTGGTGTCCTGCTTGTCAAAATCTTCAACCAGAATGGGAAAGTTTTGCTGAATGGGGAGAAGATCTTGAGGTTAATGTTGCAAAAGTAGATGTCACAGAGCAGACAGGTACAGTAAGTCTCGTTGTTTTTGTTTTTTTTTTTGCCACTTGTGTTGAAATCTATTCTATTTTCCACATTAGATGCTCTTAACCTTTCATTACATTTTGAAAACAATGTTCTGCATCTAGTTAAATTAGTCCACAGCTAGTTAAAACCCACTTGACTTATCGTCTCTCTGTTGGGGGCTCAGCATGTAGTGATTGCAAAAAGCAGATTGACTGGTTGTGTGTACAACTCATTCCTTGTTTGTTGCTCTAAGGGATTTTTGAGATATCTTTCTCTCCCTATTCCTGCCCATATAATTTTCTCTTATCTTTTTTGTGTTCCATTCTACTAGCATGTAAGATTCCTTTGAGAAGTCTTAGAACACCGTGGTCCAAGTAGATATTGGCCAAGTCATCATTTGCAATTTACCAAGCTTCAAAATAAGGGCATGTTTCTTTCAAAGTCAAAGTCACATTCTTTGATTTGACTCTAAAATTGAATTTCAGATTTAATACATATGATTTGAGAATGTGGGCTGTTAGTTGCTTTAAGTTTATAATTTATATTAGGCATGATTTCCATATTCATAATAGTATTTAAATAATTTAGAGTCACCTTATACTTAGTGATTGTCCAATATAAAACCCTCTGTATGTTCTTTATCATTTGTAGGACTGAGTGGACGGTTTATCATAACTGCTCTTCCTACTATTTATCAGTAAGTATTTGAAGATTCTCAGTTATTGAGAAGGATGTATCATAGTGTAATCAGAATAGTAGGCCTCTCTCTTGGATCATTTTTAAAGAGCTGAGGTAATCTTATTCAGCAAGTATTTTAGCTCATTTTGCTTTTATCATACCCTAAGTTCCTTTAGACAGACAAATGATCCATGAAGCAGTCCTTGTTAGAGATTTGGAATTGTTTGGAACATGATGCTCATGTGAAATTTTGTGATCCTGTTCAGCATAGGAAATGATTATGAGACCAGAGTGCTAGTAAATCCTTTGGGAAATAGGGTGAAAGGGAGAACTTGCTGTTTGCTGAAGCAGTTCTTGGAGAACACGGGGTTTAAATGAAATCTTGGAAGTAGAATTGTCAAGAGTGCAGGGTAAGCATTTCATTTCGTGGACGTTCTCATAAACAGGAGTGTGTTATTTTAAAAAAGTAGCTAAACTTTGGGGGAAAGTAGTGGGTGATGGGGTAGTGTTAAGTCAGAAGGAACAAGACAGTGTAGTCTGCAATATCAGGTCTTTTAGTTTGATTTTATTGATATTCTAATCTGGAGATGGGAAATCTCAAATCTACCTACTCTGTACCTTAATGTCGTCTAGGTGGTGGGCTAAATATTAAGAGGTACTTCTCATTTAAAATTTCGAAGACAAGGTGGCAATTCTGTTGGGTGTGGTGGTGCGTGCTTATAATCCCCGTGACTCAGGAGACTAAGACAGACGAATCAGCATTTTGCAAGACCCTATCCCGATATAAAAATAAAAAGGGTTAGAGATGTAGTAAGTAGTAGAGCACCCCTGGGTTCAATCCCCAGTTCTGCAAAAAGGAACAACAATAGAAAAACAAATGGGAAGTTCCTTGTGTATGTCTGTATCTTGTTTTTCCTTGTCTATTTTTTTTAAACTTTTTTTTTTTAAAGTCAGCCATCCTTCCTTTGTATCTATTTAAATTTCTTTTCTTCTGTATCTCATAAGTACTTCTGTCCCTCCCTTTTCACTCATTTCTTTTCCTCACATGCCTCTTAATTGGCTATAATCAATATTCCTATTTCTTTTTTACTTCTCAATACCCCTGAACTGGTCTGGAATTTCCTGCCCTTTTTCTCTTATCCATGGCATTTACCTTGCCTTTTTTCTCTAATTTCTGCCTGTTGCAATCTTACCCATCCTTCAAAGAACAGTTTGCTTTCTATTAAAACTTTAGTGATTTTGAGTGGGAGCTTCCTTGTGGTCTTTTTATCTGGATGGATGAAGAATCTCTTAACCCTGTGGTAGGTAGTGGGGAACTATTGAGTTTTTGCACTTGAGGATGCATTAAGACTGGAGAACATTTAGGACTATTTGACAGAATACCATACATACATTGGGAATGGGAAGGAGGATGTAGATGGAAGGACCAGTGCAAAATTGCCTTTAAGTAGAATCACTGAAGTCCCTGGGAGGAAAGCACTGTCCCAGATGCTCTGTGTAATTTAAAACAGGATGGCAGAAATGATGACCATGATGGAAAGTACCAGGGGAAACCAAAACAAACAAAACAAAAAAACAACTTTAAACTTACAGTTTAAAAATAGCTAATAATTTTTATGTTTTAGGCACTATTTTAGTAACTTTTTATATGGCAATTCCTTTAAAATAAAAATAATTTTCTAAGATTTTTCTGCTTACTGTGCTTCATAATAACTTTCATATTTGGAAGAGTAACAACAAAATCTTAAGGTTTATGATTGTATTTGGGCTGTGATATCATCAGTAATAATTTAATATGCGGCTTCTGCATTGCTAATGCTTTTGAATATTAGGATTGATTAAAAATAAGGTGAGGAAATAGTGGAAACATACAAAATTTATTTCCTTTTGCTACTAATATTTAATCCTGATCTTTAGTTGTAAAGATGGTGAATTTAGGCGCTATCAGGGTCCAAGGACTAAGAAGGACTTCATCAACTTTATAAGCGAAAAAGAGTGGAAGAATATTGAACCTGTTTCATCGTGGTTTGGTCCAGGTTCTATTCTGTAAGTACAAGGGATTTTTCTCTTATTTACTTCAGAATTAATTGGAAGAGATAATTATATTTTATATAAATAAATATAAGTACATAGTTTGTTTCTTGGACTCTTAAGGCATATTTAGATTCATTATATATTTGATATTTTTACTTAGATCTTGTAAATCAAACAAATAACTTGGTGCTTATTAAACTAGGTGGAGCTATTCTGCAAAATTAAGCTTAGTCCTTTTTAAGAAATATTTTTAGATGCTTAGATTGATACGTGTCATTAAAAACTTAATAGTGCCCCAAAGACTGGACAGTATAAATGGACATGTGGTAATTTGAAAGACTCAAACATTTACCTGCATATTTTATCTTTAAATTTCTTGATGCACAGTGATTAATTACATTTGATTATTCTGCCCATCTGATTTGTATAAATAGTTGTTTGAACAATAACTAATGGTATGATTAATCCCTGAGCTTAAATTTAGTTGGGAGATAGTTAGGATTGGGAGTGGCAAGCATATTTCTTACTACATTTTTGGAGTACAAGGCCTCACTGGTCATTTGAGAGACTTGGGAATGGTAAGGTTTGTGTTCTCTTTTTATTCTGGTCTCCTCAACGTACTTGCTCTTGGGAGATGAGGTATTGGATCACCAACCATCAGAGAAAAAATGCTTTGGGTTCTGGGAGTGGGGGAAAGGTCTACTCTAAGCAGTATTTTGAAATTGAAGTGTGTCTTTTCATTTTGTGCTTCCAAATTATTCTTTTTTGGTAGGGGGTGCTATTGAGGATTGAACTCAGGGGCATTCAGCCACACTGAGTCACATCCCCACCCCTATTCTGTATTTTATTTAGAGATAGTCTCACTGAGTTGCTTAGCACCATGCTTTTTGCTGAGGCTGGCTTTGAACTCAAGATCCTCCTGACAGCTTCCTGAGCTGCTGGAATTATAGGCGTGTACCATGACACCTGGCCAGATTATTCTTTAGTTGTCAGAACTTCTCACTGAACCACCATGTCCAGTGCAATTATGGAACCTAGTATTCCTGATATAGTTTAATTAGTGCAGACAACCGTGAGGTCACACAGAAATTTTAGCCCCTTGTTATTTGTGCTTGTCTTTTTTTCCACCCATATTGGGGATTGAACCCAGGGGCTGTCTGCCACTAAGCTAATCCCCAACTGATTTTGTTTTTATTTTGAGACTGGGTCTTGCTAAGTTGCTGAAGTTGGCCTCGAACTTGTGATCCTCCTGTCTTGGCCTCCCAAGTCTCTGGGGTTATAGGCCTGCACTGCTATACCTAGCTTCCCACTTGGCCTGTTAAACAGTGGAACTTAGTAACTGATTTTTGTTCTTTAAACTTCTTAAGTGAATCTTACCTTTTTCTGGTAGAAAAAGTAGTTGTTTGTAAGTTTCTGTTGAATCCTAAAGGTAGCAGGCTGTACCTTTATTATTTGGAGACTGCGTACAGGGGGCACTGCAAGTGTAAGGTTGGCAGTTTCAATTGGCATTGAATTAAGCCATCCTTTCACTTGTGTGTGAAAAAGCCCTTGGCAACACCAACTTCTGCTTTTTGCTAGAGGGAATATTTTTGGAAACCCACAAACCCTTCTTTTTGAAGCATTTTTTTTTAAACTGCCCATCTAAACTACCTGCATTTAATTATGTAAAAATAATTATTTTTACTTATGATGATTTATTTCTTACATAGTCATTTATGTATCATTGGAAGTTGTCAAACTGTGTTATTATAAATTTTAATTTTTGATATAATAAGAGAAGTAATTTTGTTTTGGAGGTGCTGGGGATAAAATCTGGGGTCTTGTACATGCTGGGCAAGTAGTATGCCACTGTGTTACATCCCTGGAGAGGTTATTTTTAACTGGGAAAAATCATTTTATCAAGTGTTCCCAGTTGTTCTATGCTCATGTTTTGAAGTATTTTAAGGGTGAATAAGAATTGCCATTTCCATCTGATTTAATAGAGCTCAGAGTCAGTTGGTCAGTATTTTGAGAAACCATCAGATGAAAGTTAAAAGTGAATATTGAACTGGAAGCAATTGTGCACACCTGTAATCCCAGTTACTTGGGAGGCTAAGACAGGAGGATCACAAGTTTGGGACCAGCCTCAGCAGTTTAGTGAGACCCTGTCTCAAAAGAAAAAGGGATAGGGGATGTAGTGCAACATTAGAGTGCTTATTACCTAGGGATATGCAAGGCCCTAGGTTTAATCCCTAATACTGGGGGAAGAAAAAAGGAAAAGTAAAAGCCATCATCAAAACTGTAAAAAGAAAAAAAAAATTACCAAGTATTTTGTTTATGAGATGATTAGATGATGACAGCAGTTTAGAAACTTACTTTTTCTGAGCAAAAAACTTATTACAGTCACAAAGAGAGTGAGTGAGTGATTACTTTACAGTAGCAGTAATATCTGTTGTTGGGAAATTATGGAGTAGAAATAGAAAATATAGACAATGTTGTATATCTTACTCAGTTTTCGAATCTCTTTTTTTAAATTTTAGGATGAGTAGTATGTCAGCACTCTTTCGGCTGTCTATGTACATCAGGGTATGTATTAAAATATTTCTATTGTAAACTGTCCTGTTTTTAAGCAAACAATTTTTAGTTCATTTTTTTTTTTCTTTTGATTTCAGACTTGCCACAACTATTTTATTGAAGACCTTGGGTTACCAGTTTGGGGATCTTACACACTTTTTGCTTTAGCAACTCTGCTTTCAGGACTGTTATTAGGACTTGTGAGTACTTCATTTTTAGAGCACTAAAAAGAAAATATTTTAAAATGATACATTTGCATTAGTTGTATTATGTTATGATTCTGTTTATTTTTACAGTGTATGATATTTGTGGCAGATTGCCTTTGTCCTTCAAAACGGCGTAAACCACAGCCATACCCTTTAAGTAAGTATATTTTAACATTTTTTTTTGTTTGTTTGTTTTTTGCTGTGCAAATCCAGGGCCTAGCACATGCTAATAAACACTCTTTACCTCTGAGCTACATCCCCAGCCCTAAAATGTTTATATTTGTATTCACTATAATTCTATTTGTTCCTGTAAACACAATTACACACTTAATAGGTTCCTCGTCAGCTTTGGTTCCTAAGTTTGGTCCCTAAGTTCCTAAGTGGTCTCTATCAGTTGTGGTATAAATGAAGGGGGAGGAAATATGTACTTCATGTGAGAATGGTAGCCCAGTGTGATTTAGAACATTGTTATTTTCTTGACTCAGAGAGAATTTCAACATTGCATTTAGCTTGTAGCTATTTAATGACATTGATCTGATGTCAGTGTATTTGAATACTTCATGTTACTCATGGATCTGTTTCAGTATACCTGAGTCCAAATTCAATTTTTAGGTGAGTATACTTCACTCTTAAAGTCATTCATTACGATAGTGACCATATTTGAAGATTTTTCTTTGTTTCAGCCAAATTTCATTCTTTTGGTAGAATATTGGAAAATGCAATTCCTGTAGCCGATTTGGATGGGCATTGACCTGAACTATATTGTAAAATGAATTTATATTATTCAAAGTATTTCTTGCTGCCTGTTGTAATACAAATACTTCTTAATCTTTTATTTTTGATCTTGGAAAATTTTGCTGGTGGTCGAAGCCCTCATACTTTCAGTTAGTAAAGAACTTGGACTTTGTTATATATTGGCTTTTCAGCAACTTTGTAGTTGACTGTTCAGGTGATATGGTTCCCATTTTTTGGTTGAGGAAAATAAGGTTCAGAGAGATGAAGGATTTCCCCCAAAGTTACACAGAAATGACAGAGGTGAGTGCAGACTTAAATCAAACTTGTGACCATCATGGTATTGCCTGCATGTTGCTGCCTTTTTGACTAGGATTTATTGAGGTCAAAACTCCTGAAATGAAATCAGTGGGTATTTCATTTACAGTGATGTACCTATCCTTTGTACATAGTTGTATTGACAGTGAAAGGGGCAGTTATGGAAGAAATAATAATTTTATCTGCCAGGGACTACTGATCTGCAGGGGGAAATGTTAAGCACAGATTATTTAAAAGATAAATTCATTGTTAGGTTTAAGGTTTTGGAAGTGAAATGAATAAATATGTTCATTCACCAATTCTATTATTAGTTTTATTGATTACTATTCTCTATTTTTATTCTAACAGCTGTTAGAAAATCTATAGGTAGATAGGGTGTGCAACTGACCTTAGATCCCATAAATGTACCAAAGTTCATGCTGAATCATATTACGTAGACTGAATCATTTTTGGGACAGTTGCCAGATTCTCATCTCCATCAAAGTCATCTGCTGACTACTCTGGTAGTCTGCATAGATTAATTTTTGTATCTGGGACCATAAGTATTGGAGTCAGAGTTGTTTTATCAATTGGAGAAAACGTGAGGGCATGTACTCACTGGGAGACCTTGTTTTAAAAGATTGTTGGTCCCTGCCCTGGGTTTTGGAATCAAGTTCTGTGATGAAGCTGGGAATTTGTATTTCTGATAAATTCTAGGAGAAGTTAATGCTGCTGGTCTGAAGACTACTCTTTGAAAAATTCTGTCTTGCAGAAAATGGCTACCAATAGAAAGCTGTGTAGGTCCTTGCCCCATGAAAGAACTTGTATTGTCATACAAACTCTTTAAAAAAAATAGTGACTCTGGTAGGCTCCCCTCTATGGAATAAACTGTGAGATATGTACTTGGTATACATTTAAGGAGGTAAGTGTTCTCAAGAGGACAGTATACTGAATAAGTGTAATTTTAAAAATTTTCTGAGATGAACCAAAGGAAATGGCAGAGATGATACTTTTAGGAAGTTACAAGGAAAATAAACTATTTAAGTTTTTTTTTCTACTAATGTCCATAGTAAAAAGTTATTAGAAAAACTTATGCCTTAAAATATATTTTAATCTGGAGAGATTGAAAAATATAAAGTAATGGGTTTTCTAAATATCTTTTCAAATCATTTAAAAAGATAGGTCTGTGATACATTATCCTGATGATGCATAATAAGTGCTTAATCTTCACTGTGCATAGGCTTAGGTAATTTGTTTTCCTTTAGTGAGATAATTGATAAATATTAATCTAGACTTTAATGTGATGATGCCCCTTCTAGAGAATGCCACGTGATTTGAGTTGTTTTCCAGTGTAAGTGTTTTTGTCTAAGATTTTGAGTTGCTCAGGGGGAAAAAAAAAAAGCCACTCAGTATACCAATTGGTCATGTAGCAAGAAAGTCCAAGGACAGAATTGACTGGATCCTTGGGACCCAGATGATGTTATTAAGATGCTGTGTGTTTCTTAGTAGTTCAATTCTCCATATCTTGTTCCAGTCTCAGCTTGGTTCTTTGTAGTAAGTAGCACAAGATGATCAAAAAAAAGCCATCACTCACAATCATGGAGGAGGAAGGAAACCCACTTTCTTCCATACTCACCTAACTTTTAGAGAAATCCTGGTGCATTCCACTTGTGAAGAGCTTACTTGGAAGAGTTGCTGTAAACCATAGTTTCTCACTTTGAGAAGATGATTTTTAATTGTGATGGACTACCTTTTGTACATTGTTGGATGTTCAACAGTATCTCTGTAGTTGCTAATTTCCCTGCCCAGCTCCCCTCCCCAAGTGTGGCAACTAGAGATATCTCCATACATTGCAAATTGTTCCTTGAGGGACAATATCATTCTTGGTGGAAACCTCTGTTATGAACTGTAGTACTTACTAGAACCATGTAAGATGTGATGTAACACAATGGTCTATTAACCCAGCATAGAAAAGGCAGATCAAATAATAGGTTGTTTATGATTAGGAATTTCTTGCTCAACTTATTAATCCTCCCCCTGGTTCTGGGTTGCCTAGGATTCTACTTATTTGCTCTACTTATTAATCCTCCCCCTGGTTCTGGGTTGCCTAGAATTCTCAGCAGTTTAGGATGAGTGAACATAGTAAAACTCAGGCCCAATTTCATCTTAGTAATGTGGTGTGCTCTGAGCTTAACTAGCAATTGGCTCTATAATAAATAGCAAGTGTGTATGTGTACATACTTAAATATTCATTAACTGTACACTTAAATGTGTATATTTTATTGTTTGTAATTATACCTTAATAAGATTATGAAGAGAAGGCACATTTGGAAGAAAAAGCACATTCTTGTCTACAAAATGTACAAGAATATGATTTTTTTAAAAAATATATATATATATTTAGTTGTAGTTGTACACAATACCTTTATTTTATTTTATTTATTTTAATGTGGTGCTGAGGATCTAACCCAGCACCTTACACATCCTAGGTAAGCACTCTACCACTGAGCCACAACCCCATAAAGAATATGATCTTTAACTGTAAATTTGTGATTGATTCCCCCCCCCACCGCGAACCAGAACAGGATAGTGTTGAAGTTTTAGTATGCTTATATACCAAAATATTAATAGTGAATTAATATAAGATCTATTTAATGCAGTATATTTTCTTAAAATTTCCACATTCACAGTATTAGTGCCTATTGATTACTTTCAGTTTAGTTTATAAATAGATGGGTAAGTAGAAAGAATTTGGCATGTAAAATGGATTTTTCTACTAGTGTTTATAGTCTTCACTGTTTTCCTAATAATATATTCCTTTTGGAAATCCAAATGTAAGTAAATGCTAAAGCAGTCACAGGCATATGAATTATTGTATATTGATTTCTCTGGTCCTTGTCTTTAAGAAAAGTCATTACCAGAATTTTCTCAACCTTTGAAAAAAGTGGAGGAGGAACAAGAGGCTGATGAAGAAGATGTTTCAGAAGAGGAAGCTGAAAGTAAAGAAGGAACAAACAAAGACTTTTCACAGAATGCCATAAGACAACGCTCTGTGGGTCCATCATTGTCCACTGATAAATCCTAGTTAATTTTTGTGGATATCTTAATATCATGATTTTAACAAAAACTGAAGTTTGATCATTTGTTTTTATGTGAACTGTGACGTGCTTATGTATTATAGGGTTCAATCCAGATTGTTGGATTGAACAGTTTTCATTAAGAAAATAAAAGCAGGTATAAAAGTTTGTAATATGATTTAAGAACATTATGGTTGTTTAATTAATGTTTAATTTTAAAAAATCTGGTGCCAAGCAATAAGATTTGTACATGTTTGTTTAATAACAACCTGTTTGTCTGAATTGAAAAAATTACATTTTCCAAAGTTTGCATTATTGGGGTATTTAAGATTAGAGAAAAAGATTTCTCATTTGGTATGATTTTTCTCAGTTTCACTGTGTGAAAAAGAACAAACATTTCCCATAAGTGGGAACTTTTTGCCCATTGTCTTGAGAAACACATATTTCAATGATAATTCTGTAGTCTTTTAGAGATATAGTTTAAAATTTCCTCATTTTAAAAATTATGCAACTAATAAAAAACTACCTTGCTTTAATTATACTTTTCTGCACATCATATACAGAATATGCTACTGATTGAGGGAGTTTTTATAAGTGTAGGTGTTCTCTTGATTCCTAATAAGGTCAATTGCTTTTTTTGTTGTTGTTCCTTTGGTCACTGTATGGTTTGTATTTTTTAATTTGCCATCTCAAATTGGATAATATGAACAGTATCACTGTTACATTTACTGTTGGTAAATAGTACTTTTTTGTTTCAAATTGAAGTTTACTAAGAGAAAGCCATCAAACTGAACTATATTGATAACTTAAAATTTTAGTCATTCAGTCCAGATTTTACATTATTATTGTTGAGACTTGTCTTGAATATTTTGATTTTGTTCTTTTTCTCTTTTCTTTTTGTTATTAATGTAAAGGTGGACATTCCCGATTTTCATTTGAGATAGAAAAGCTTTGGTATTTTATACTTGGGAAGTGCAAAGCTTAATTTGATATAAAATAAAGTTTGCTTTCTACTCAGGAAAAAACATCTTCTCCTGTATATTTTCAGAGTATCTTTGTCCTATGTTCAGAAAACTAATTGATTTTGTAGTTAGTTTCTGCTTGGTGTTTTAAAATTTTAACATTTTTATGCTTTTTAAAAGATAAACTTCATATTCTGTTGTTCTTGACTGCTATTCTGTGGTGTTTCTCAGGTGGAAGTCAGCAAGAGGAATACATAGTTTTCACCTTACATCAAGTAGAGGGTTTATTAGAGGTTTGTATAACAAGAATAGGAACACCCATAAATACTCAGAATGAATAATTCAGCTATTTTGTAATAGATTATTTCTGTAAAATCGTCAGTTTTAAGGTTCTCTTTCTGTGTGAATTCATTAGACTTGCAGTATCTTTAGTATACAAGTTTTATTTAAAAGGCTTCTCTTCAAATATTAAATATTCTGCCATTGAATGGTCTGGATATGTAATTTGTGATGCCTTAGAAAAAATTTCTAAGCACAAAATAAATTTTTCTAAGCACTTCATTAAACCTGAAGACCAGTATGATTTCTAGTTGCACATTTCAAAGTATGCTTAATTTCTTTGTATTTAACAATGTTTAAGATGAATTGCTGTGCGTTGCTGTATATGTACTTTATATGTGCAATCAAAGGCTGGATTCTTTTTCTGTTGTTTGACATGATTGAAGAAAATGATGCTTCTTAATCATTCTTTTTTTAGCATTCTCGTATCTGACATTGTCAGATTTTTTTTTTTTAAGAGAGAATTTTAATATATATTTTTTTTAGTTCTCGGTGGACATAACATCTTTGTTTGTATGTGGTGCTGAGGATCGAACCCGGGCCACACGCATGCCAGGCAAGCATGCTACTGCTTGAGCCACATCCCCAGCCTACAGATGTCAGATTTTTAACTAGAAAATGTGATGACAGAAAACTAAATGTAGGCAAACAGGTAGGGTCTTGATATTTCCATAAACAAATGATCTCAGTTGTTGAAGATTGTCACTGTAGAAATCTGAATGCTTTTCTGTTGATACTACAGGCTTCCAAAACCTATATGAAGTCATTGACAAGTGGTTCAGGAATGAGTAATGTGCAGTGCCAATGATATCCTGGCTCGCTCACTCCATAATCATTCAACTTTACCACTGAAGTATCGTATAATCTGGTCTCTAGAGAAAATGCATTATTCTTCCACATATTGCCTAGTCTTTATTGGTAAAACTAAAAAGAGAGTCTTAATGAAGATTCCCGAGTGTATATCAGTATTATAATTTGGATAAGATGTGTTACCCTCTCAGTCATGGTTAGATTCTGAATGATGTAACTTAAATGGTTAGTTAATTCATTTGATGGATTAATGATTTGAAAGGACTACTGTGCTGGGTAGTAACTATGGGCAGGTGCGGTGTGGCTAGAGGAACTGAGTCACTGGGGGCAAGTCTTTGAGGATTGTGTTTTGTCCCCTGGCTCTTCCCTTGCTTTCTGCTTCTATGCCACCATGTCCTGAGATGCTTTCTTCTGTCATGGCATTTCACCTGACTTTATGCCTAGAGCAATGGATTTGGCCTTGATGGACTGAAAGCTCTGACCTGAAAATAAACTTTTTCTCCTCTATGTTATTATTGTCAGATATTTTAATCACACTACTAAAAAGAAATTGACTAACAATTAAATACCCATACCAACAAAGAGTACTTTTTGGAGCTTTGTTTTTCTTTATTAATTCTGCTAGCCCTAACAACTATCACATGTCTTTCGGGAGAACAGACTCACAGATATGGTAGAAATAGGTAGAATTTGAATCCCGTTCTGATTCCAAATCTTGACCTTTCCCTAAGAGCATGAGAACTCAGCAATCTATATTTCTCTCAAATCTATCATACTGTAGCAACAAATACTATTCAGAAATACCATAATTATTCAGTATTTGTAGTTTTATGATGGTGGTTACCTGCATAAAGTTACTACAGTAAATGATGCTTTTGATAGTTTTTTTCTCAAGTTGTGACCTCAAGCTAATGCATAAAGGCATAGTTGACTTGAATATGATGAGATAAACATTTTTGAATGAACCTTTTAACTCATTAGGAAAGTTTGTAAGGTAGAATTTTTTATTCTCAAAGTTTATAAGGTAGAATTGCTTTTGATTTGAAATTTTACAAGATAATGTGAGTTGGAATTTAAATGGAAAGTCTTCAGTGATTATGTAATTCTAAAGTTAAAAATTTGTATTGAAAATTTTACAGATTTAGATAAGTTGATATTACATATCAAGCACCTTTTAAAATTTGAAATAACAAAACTAGGGCTGGGTTGTGGCTCAAGTGGTAGCATGCTCGCCTGGCATGCGTGCAGCCCGGGTTCAATCCTCAGCACCACATACAAACAATGATGTTGTGTCTGCCGAAAAAAAACTAAAAAATAAATATTAAAAAAAATTCTCTCTTTCTCTCTCTCTCTCTCAAAAAAAAAAAAAAAAGAGAAAGTAATAACAAAACTAGAGCAACAATGTAAGTTTGAAGTTTGGTAGTATGTAAGTGAAGTTATATACATGAATAAGTCTAATGTTCTATTTAAAAATAGTTTCATTCATTTACTGAAAATGGTAATAGTATTTTGACCATTAATGAAATAAGCATATATCTCCTTTCTACCCAGTTAGCCATGACATTTCTTTCAAACCTATTTTCATAGTTACTACAACTCAACCTTATTCTGTATTGGAAGTGAAAAAATGAGAAATGATGATGTAAGAAATGATGAAAGAAATTTGATTGATCTAAAACATAATCAAGTCATAATTTTAAATTCAATGAAAATATACCTCATTTTGAAGAATAACTTAAGCAAAGTCAGTTTTACTGTTGCTTTTGTGTGTTCTTTAAAATGTTCCTGACTTCAGTGTTTTTAATAAAACATATTAAAATATTACTAGTAGGCAGGATGCTAGGAACTTGAATTTAATAGCTCAGGTACTTAGGAAGATTCAACTTATTGCCACCTGGGCATTCCTAAGAAACTTCCCTTAAACTTTGGATGTATTTCTTTTTCCCCAGAATGAAATTATTTATTTCTTGGAAATTTTATTTTTGTAGTACTGGGAATAGTGCTATACTACTGAGCTACATCACCAGCCCCTTTGCCTTATTTTGAAACATGGAATCTTGCTAAGCTTCCCAGCCTGGTCTTGAATCTTCTGCTTGTATTTATTCTCATACCATTAAATCACTGAACTAATGTCTCTTTCTTTCTTTCTTTCTTTCTTTCTTTCTTTCTTTCTTTCTTTCTTTCTTTCTTTCTTTCTTTCTTTTTCTTTCTTTCTTTCTTTTTAAGAGAGAGTGAGAGGAGAGAGAGAGAGAGAGAAATTTTAATATTTATTTTTTCTAGTTCTCGGCGGACACAACATCTTTGTTGGTATGTGGTGCTGAGGATCGAACCCGGGCTGCACGCATGCCAGGCAAGCACGCTACCTCTTGAGCCACATCCCCAGCCCCGGCTTTAGTTTCTATTATGAAGACACAGGCTACCGATACTGTAATAGAAATATTCAATAGATTTGAGATATTGTGGGCTTCTTAAAAAGGCCCTGGGATGGGGCAAAGAAAATGAGGCTTAGATAATAGTGAAATTTGATATTACCTGAATGTGACACATAGAATTTTGTGTCTATCCTGTAGCCTGGGGATAAGGCCAATAAGCAGGAGAGCAGAGCCAGAATAACCTTGTAAAAGGAAAGCTAGCAAGCCCTGGCATAGCACAGCCTACCTCTGGACATCTTGAGATACTTAATTACCTAATCATTTTGAGTAAGACTCTTCAGTTACTTGAAACTAAAATGTGAATATAGCTATCACCTCTCTGGACTTTGTGAACAATGGTGTCTTGATTTACCTTAACCTGGTTCAGTTTCATGTCTATTTTATTATCTGAGAATACTTCAAGCCATGCTTTACATCTCACTGGGTCATTCCAAGATCAGGAGAAAAAAATTAACTCATGGGCCAAGTCAGACATGTCCTGCACTCATACTGGGTAATGGAAGGTTAAATGAATATAGTTTGGGGAACTTTTTTGAATTGTTTTTAATTTATAACACTAGTGTCCCATAATTAAGAGAAATCTGAGAAGCAAAAATATTGTGTGTTGGGTTCAAGTGTAGCTGTTCTGTGTGAAATCAGGATAAAAGACTTGTTCAGCTTTTAAAATCCTTGTATGTTTAGATTTTAATGCATTGTGACCAAATTTCTTATGTATGTATCATTTTAGACAATAACTTAGACAATAACTTCAGTCTTCTGAGAGTGGGAGCAATACAGGTTTGAAGATGCTGAGAAGGCTTTGTTATTTTTTCCTTGTAGGGAGGAAGAAGGAAATGGTGGGGTATGTTTATGTCATCTGGAATGGTTGTTGATTTAATGTTTATGCAAGTGGATTCCAGTTGAACAACCCTAATGCCAAGTACTCTGTAACTTGCATTATAACTTAAATAATTTTTGAAGTCTTATTTTGCAAACTTGTCAAGAATGATTACTTTTTTAAATGTTTTTTTCAAGCTCCTTGTTAATGCATGCTTGCTTGAATCTTATGCTTGGCACTATGAACAGAAGGACCAGTTGGATATACTGAGGTTCTGTATTTTTTTTTTTTAATGTTGGTTATAAAACAGTAACAAGAAGTGCCCAAGTTCATGAAGATCACAGTATCTTGGCACTATGTAGCACTTAATGAATATATGTTGAATGTACTTTTTTATTTAGCTATGTTTACCACTGATCTTGAGTTACAAAGAAAGCCCTGATTCCGCTGGTTGTACTGTGTTATTTTATTAATAACATTCTGCATGATTCCTATGAATTTGCCTTATTTTTAATGTGAAGTATTGTGAAAACACTTTACTCCTGCTATATGTTGCTTTAGAGATACAAGAGTATTTTACCTTTGATCCTTAACTTTAAGTGGATAAGGATGACTGGTATTGGTTGCTAATATTACTTTATGGTGATATAAATATTTACTTGAATATACTAAATATATATTATATTCAAGTAAATTTAGGAAATCCAGGTACAAAGGTAATATTATTTGGAGCCTGGCTTAAGGTGCATTGATTTGGATCATTGTTTATGACAGGAAAAATTTGGGGTTAGGGTTTTAATGTGAATCTTGAAACTAAATAGTTATTCAAAGCTGTAGTTCTGAGAACGGAATATTTACTTTGATTAGGGTAAGTTTAGTAGTGTTCAGATAAATGAGAAAGTTCTGGAATAATAAAATTATTTGCAACTTTAGCTTCATGGGCAATTTTCCTAGAATACTAATGCCTTATGAATGAAGATGGCTGAATGATAAAGTTGCTAATAACAGGGACAATAAGCCACGTGGGTACAGATGGTTTCATTCTTGGTTATCCCCTTTGTGGCATAATATGAAATATATATATTTGGTTTCTGACCCTGGTTCTTGAGATAATTCCTAAATCATGTAATTTCCTTAGTGATAGGGTGATAGGGCCATCTTTTATTATGGAGCTTTCGTTATACAGGTAGAATGGATTAACCATCTTTTGTTATAATATCTTTTCTTGTTACCTAATACAAGAGCTTCTTAGACATGTGGCATCCCTGTAATGAGTAGTGAATGTCTTTTGGTTTATTAGTGAGATGAGTGGTGGCTGAAAAATCCCAGCTAGGATGAGGGCTGGTTGCCAAAGGAACCAACTGTGTGTTTAGAAGGTGGGGACTTAAACTTTCACTTCTTTGAAAGAAAACAGAAGCTGGAGATTGAGTTCAGTCACCCATGCCAGTGATTTAATCCATTCTACCTGTATAATGGAACCTCCATTTAAAAAAACTCAATAACTTTCTCCATGGTCAGCTTTATTTTCAAGATTATATTTTGTAGTCTTTGCCTGAAACTCATTATTGTTTTCCACGTGGTCAAGACGGTTGGTGATACCTTCCATGGAATTTTTAATTTGGTTTATTGTCTCCTTCATTTTGAGGTTTTCTACTTGACTCCCCTTGCCCCTAGAATCTCTTTTGAAAATACTTCTTGTAGTTTCTCCATGATTTCACTCCTTAAATCCCCCTGTGCCTTGCAGATCAGTTTAACTATGTACATTCAAATGTCCTTCTCTGATATTTCTTCCACTGTGGCATAGGTGGATTCTGTTATTGAAGTGTCTTGATTTGCTTGGTATGATTTTTTTTTTTTCTTCATGTTGTTTGTGTGTCTACCCATCTAACAGTATTGGTCTGAGGCTGTGGAGTTTCTACCCTGTGGACTTACTGTGTTCCCAAAGGTTCCCGGCTCGGAGTTACAAACCAAAGGAATGCAGTCTTTTCAATGAAATAATATCAGAAAATTCTCCAAACCTAAAGAATGAAATGGAAAATCATATACAGGAGACATAGGACCCCAAATATACAGTTATAGAAGACCCACACCATGGCACATTATTATGAAAGTGCCTAACATACAGAATAAGGATAAATTTTAAAGGCTGCCAGAGAAAAATGACAGGTCACAATTTAGAAGGAAACCAGTTCTTATTGCAGCAGATTTCTCAAGACCCTCAAAGCTAGGAGGTCTTGGAATAATATTATCAAACTTTG